ATATGGTACATGATATGGCTTTCTAGATATCTTCCAACTCAGTGTGTTGGTTTAGGTGATGTACAGCAGCATGTAAAATGCCAACGTGAGGAACATGCTCTCTCTAATACCCAAAGAATGCAGTAAGGTGCTGAACCTACTTTATGTTGATGATGATGATTCAAAAGTTAGCAATTTCCCTTCCTTGCTGAAGAGACAGAATTGTGAATCCACCTAGTTAGCATTAAGAAACTTTGGGCAGAGGTCAGATCCTTGAATTTGTTGAGGTTTATCAGCTATTCCGGGATCTGAAATTCCAAGATCACAGATTTTTGATGGAAGAAGATGGATGCCTTAGGTCAGAGAGAACATTGATATTTACTATATCCTGTTGTCCTATCCAGGCCTTCAAAGGCTGGAACAATGGCCTTCCACATGGATAAGAGCCATCTTCTGTACTCAGAACGTAAATCACAACGTTTTGTAATGCAAATGTTCCCAAAACTCAACTCTCTAATGAAATAGAAGGAAGTTTCACCTTCAACAAACTCATCACTATTTCTGCATGAAAGGAAAAATTTTACAACCGGAGTGCAGCACTGCAATGTCCACTGTCGTGCAGAGGGTTCTTAATGCCATTGCTGTGCTTGGTTCCCTGACTATGTTACAATGAGGTTATTTCCGTATGAGTGGTATATCGTGATTGAATGAATGGATTTAAGGCTGAATCGCATTTCTGTGTCCTCCTTTAGTTGTCTTTGCATGGGAACCAGAGTGAGAACCAGAACTCAAGTGGCAGAGGCTTGAATAGAAAGGATCAGCTATCACTTAGTAAAAAGATTCCATTTATGGGAATTCAGATAGTGTCAATGACATTTGTTATCCAAGGCACTGAAGAAGTATTAGTCTGAGAAAGATTAAAACAGAGACTTTTAAAAAATGTGATTTATAATCTGCCTTATTTCCTTAATTACTTTTTTAAAATAAGTAAAAATATTTATTGCTACATTAAGAAACAATGGCTATTTCCTGCCTCCTGTTACTCATACATTTGTTCTACATTAGAACTATAAACAGTGATTGTGTAACATCTCAGTCTTATATTTATAGTCAGCTGCATAAGCCTTCTATACTTCACTTGTGAATGTATTGTAAAATTGTGACTTCCTTATTCTGATGAACAGAAAGTAGTTCATCAAAAATGTTTAGTGTGCTTTGACATGTAGTGGCACCCCAGTGAAAGAAGGCTACTCTCAACTGTTTTAGCTGATTTGAATTCTCTGTGTCTGTGAATAAAGTAGTTGTAGCTACTGAGGTGTTTATATCATTGTTTTTATGTGGTTAATTTAGTGACAAATGTCCTAAGGCATTTATGGAAGGATTTTGATAGGTCTGTTCATTTATTCATTTTCTTTGAGTATAATAGTACCTACCTAACCAGGGCTTTTCATCTTGGCATTGTTTAATTTAGGGGTCGGATAATTCTTTGTCGTTGCAATGCATGTTATTGGGGGGAGGGTGGGGATGTTGTCAGGGTATGGTACAATGCCTAGCTGAACTTCAAGCCTTTACATTTAGATGTACCAGCACCTACTTACTAACTTAATGTCTGAAGTGTCCCTGTGCATGGGGAGAGGAACTGTCCGCAGCTGATAGCCTCTAGTCTAAGCACTTTCCCATGGTTATGGTGACAACATTAGCTGAAAAAGGGTGACATCTTTTTTCTTTGTTTACTGAGTCCATCGTTTAGGGTGTTTTCTGTATACTGTAGATCTCTCCTTTAACAAAATCACTCTTTCTACTAGTTGATCCAGTTATTAAAAAAATGATTATATGTTTGTCAAAAATCATTCTGGTGCCTTGTTTTTCATAAGGCACATCTTAAATATTCAGCAATGAGTGCCTTAATCAGGCATGCATTAATCATGTCTTTCTCTACATTATTTGCATTTTTTGTAATTATAGACTAATGAGTATGCCCTTTATGTGATATTTTAGTTCACTCATACCTTGATAAATATTTCAGCTTTGTGATAATTAAGTAAATTGAACACTATTAATTAGAAGTCCAATCTATGGAGATAGATTAAAATATTTAAAGGTAGTATTTTAATTTCCTAGTATTCTTTCAATGAAATTCCTCATAAACTTTATTATTACCACAAATTCATCCAGAATTAAACAAAACTAAATATTTTATTATAAGTAGCAAAGGTCACATGATTACATACAGGGCATGTTTGCTGTATATCTGATTTTGTTGCAACTGTTGACTACCTAAATGAAAAACAAAGAAAAAGGAAGGTGTTCAGTAGAATTATTATGAAGGAGGAATTATTTAATTTATGAAGTAACTTTTCAAAACCATAATTTGATAAAATCATGTAAATCTTAAAAATAGCCAACTTTTAGTGGCAACTATACTAAAAAAAACTGCCTGGGTGTAAAGTTTTTTAATGAAAAATTAAATTTTCATAAATATTATACTCTTCATGTAAATTATTATCTTAGTGTTTAACAATATAAAAAGAATCACTAAATTTCAATTAGAAACTTTATAGCACACTAACAATTTTTGTAGTTTTGTTTTTTCATTCAAGTATTACCCATTCTTTTGTATTTTTATGCAAAAACTCCAGGCCTAAAATAGAACATATTTAAAATGTAAATCAGTGAGATATAATACATCTTTGAGGAGACATAGCACATATTTGAAGAGAGCACATATTTTCTAATGAAAAAATATACTATTGGCTGCAGGAATGTTGGCTTTGGGCATTGTCCATTTTTTTATTTTAAACATTAAAGAACAAAAAAGTATTAACAAACACATACATTTACAAAACAACACATAAAAAATGCAAATAATACAAAATTTCAGACAGGCTGATAGGAAATTAACAGTGGTTGATGATGATATTGATATTTTCAAATTGGTTACTCAGAGCTTTGTCCATTTTTAAAGAACTTAAAATCACTCTTGAACTTTTCTTCAATTCTGTTATGAGTCAGAACTTATATGACCAGATCCAGAGTAATGAAATAATACGATAGCAGAAATTGCAGTAAAATATTAACTCTGAAGTTTCAAAGTTTTGTACAACTAATTTGGCTTTCCCAAAGCATTCATAATTGTTTAAATATTTCTGCTTTTAATTAGATTTTGGACATTTTTAATGACATTTAGGTTCATTGTCATTTTACATGACAAAATCATGGTTTCAATTATTGAAACATTTACTTACCATTGAAAGGGTTTGTTCTCCTAAACATCTGATATTCTGCTTCACACATGTTTAAATTGCTTAATAATTTTTACTCATTTATTACAGGGCTGCTGAAGATTTTTGCCTGTCTACTAAAGAATTGACAAGTAAAAATAAAATGTTGTAGAGATCTGAGTAATCTCATTAGTCACTGAATGCATTTGGTGCTTCTTGGTATCAGCTGAAGCTGAATTTAATTAGTCACTGGCACATTTGCCAGTTGGAGCCAGAAAGTCTATCCTATTTAATTATAAAATAATTTGCTCTGAGTAATTTATGGGAGTAGCCACTAAAGAAATCACATTACTTCAGGACTAGCAAGATCTATTTCATTTAGAGTAGAAAGATAATTATTGCCTCTTAAAAAAATATAGCATTTTTAGATTTTCAAACTCGTGTCAAATCTGCAGTTATAAAATGCAGTCATAAGAAGGAATTAAAGATAGGCTTAAAATTCTACAAAGAATAGTGTTTAAGAAAAATCAAACCAAATGAAAACTAAACTAAAAAATGTAGTCAAATCTGGCAATAATTTTTATGGCTTTTACTATACTCCATTCTCACATTAACATATAGTGAGATGCTGGTTCATTATAGTTAATGTGTTGGAGGCAATATAGCTATCTGATTCTTAGCTATCTTGAGATTAGATACTGTATATGAGAAAATGAAGGTGAGGACATTTGAGACACTAGCCCTAAATGTCTAGTCACTCCTGAGAAACATACAGTTGAATGAGTGCATCATAAAATATGGCTTCAGGGGTTACTTTCTTTGTCCTATACCATTCATTCACCCTTTTGCAAAACAGGTATAGTAGAATCATAAATATACCATTGTCATTCTCCATGGCTTCTAATCCACGGTCATATAAGCACTAAAAAGAGGCATTGTGTACTCTACTATTTTAGTACAACAAATAAAATAATCTCTAGTGTGTATAAAAACAATTGTATGTTAACATGACACCTATGAGGAAGTCCATTCAAGACCATTGCATGTGAAGATGAAAACACAGTGGAAAGTTCTTCATAACAAAAAATATAATATCTGTACAAAAATGTCGTATATGCATAGTACATTCATAACACATAGTATGTCATAAACATTGATGGATAAAGGTTATAGATATTTTATTTGTTTTATATGTGCATATGTATAATTTCCTGTGTATGTATGTGTTTGGGCTGCAGTGGTATGTGGGAAATCATATGTAATCAGAAGAATTTTATAAGCCTATCAACTCACAAATATATATTTCACAATTGTTTGCCTCATGAGATCTGATCTGCAATTTAGCAATGTGGAGTGACTGGCTAAAGACTGATGTATACAAACTATGTCCAAAATTTAGAGTCCTGGAAGAGAAACAGGGCTTGCATACTCAAGTAACTAAAAAACTAAGAACATATTTAAACTGAAGCGTAAGAGCTCTACTGTTGAACTCTGTCCATTTGATCCTAAATTTTTGTACTTTGATTGTAACAAACTAAGAAAAATTTTAATACATTTATATTTCTCAAAGACTGCTTTCCAAAATGGCCAAGATAACTGCATTCCTGACTCTTCTATGAAACAATAAACAATGTATGAGTGTGTAAAATTGTGTCTTAGTATTACAGATAAATACTAGATGGTAAGAATATTTTCAAATCATATGTATATCAACTTATTTTTTCTAAATATTTTTTATTTTCTAATGGTATAAGTAAATGTTTCTCAATTAATACATATTTTTGTTCTATTTTTACACAGTGCAAACTAGAATATCAGGCGTGTGTCTTAGGAAAACAGATCTCAGTCAAATGTGAAGGACGGTGCCCATGTCCTGCAGATAAGTCTGCGATTATAAGCAGAAATGTTAAAAGGGGTGAGTGATGAACATTCATTCATATTTTTACATCCATCCCAATCAATCAAATTGTTTTCCAAGAGATTTTAAGACACTAAAGAAATCCACTATGAAGTTTGCTTTTAAGCATATACCTGACTAATTATATCGCTGTGTGCTCATTTCTCAACCTCAAATATTATAGCAAATAATTGTTTTTAATTTTTAGAGTTATAATCAAATTAATCTCTATAATCAAATTAATTGTATTCATTTTTATGTGCTTACTTATATAAGTAATCTAAAACTATACTTTTAATAAATCATTGTGTCAATGCATGCTTATGTTTCTAAGATCCCCTTTTTAAATATTTTTATGTTTTCAACCAAGGATCTGATGACTGATAAAATATTTTCATCTTAAGTAAAATTGCTCCATCGTTACTCTTCTGCAGGAAAATATCTTCCCTATATAGTATGTGTGATCTCCAATGAAATAATTTGATATATTGATCATGAATTATTTGACATTAACTTAAATAAAGCAATGAATTTCTCATGATAATTCTCATGAAAATTTAAATTTGCAAAGATTTTTTCTTGTTTGCATTGGTATTAGTTCTATGTTTGAGGTTTTGTTTATGCTTCAAAAAAAAAAAAAAAATCTCCCTGATTGCTAGAGTCATCTCTCTCCAGCTCTATGTGAAGAAGAAGAGCAAGGAATAGATTTTTCTGAGGCAGAAACCATCTACAGAGCAATGTCATGAGCCTTTGTCAAGAATAATTATTTGACACTTAAAACTTATTTACTATAAACTACTTATTTCTTGGGATAGTATGTTGGTCAGCTTTCTATCACTGTGACAAAATACATGAGATAATCCATTTAGAAGGAAGAAAGGGTTATTCTGATTTGGAGTTTCAGCAGTTTCTGTCCACAGTCATTTGGCTCTGCAGTCCTTGAACTATTGATAGTGCAGTGCATGATGCATCTCAGGAGTGCTTCTCAGAGGAGTTGTTCTCATCACAGAGGCCTTGAAGCAAAGGAGTGAAAAGGGTTGGGCCTCAGTATATTCATTTTTGCTCTTGTTGTTGTTGTACCAGCATCATCTTCATGGGCACGCCCTCAATGACCTTGCTTAATCCAACTGGGGCCAATTATGAAAGGGTCTGCCAACTCCAAGTAGTACCACAGGCTGGGGACCAGGACCTTTGACAGATGTCCTATTTTCAAACTGCATCATGTGGTATAATTGCTAGTCCGCAGTATAATCTCATAATAGATATTTTATTACAGAATTGACTCATGAATTTCATTATCTCATTTGTATTGGACTTTCTGGAATGGTCATGTGTAAGATTAGGATGAAAATAAAAATGTTAGGGCATTGTCTTCAATAAAGCAGTTTCTCAGTTTCATTGTTTTCATGTAAAACAATTGGTTTGAAACTAATGGTAATTTAGTGCTTAATTAGCAGCTCATGTGCAAGACAATGTCAAGTGGTGGAAAAGGCGAAGATGCCTTCTAGAATCTCTATTCTTTGCATCTGTCTTTTTCTGCCTTGCAGTACTGTAAACTCCACTTCAGGGTTTAGTTTCTTCCATATTCTCCACCCCCATCATCCCAATCTGTTTTCTCCAAGTCAGATAAGGGTTTTTAACATCTCCTTGAATATATGAATCAACCTTCAAAAAATCAAGAACTAATTATATTTTTCTTCTAACTGAGATTCTTTGATGTTGTGCTTTTCTTACCCCAATCACAAGTGGATATACTCGAATTAAGATACAGTGGAATCCATTTTCCTCTGATAATCACCTCAGGCATGAAATATGTTCCACTATATTCAATATCCATGTCTTATCGTTCACTGGAGATTTTAAGAATGTGTAGTCTCAATAGGTGTATGTATATGTCTAATATATCACAGACTTTCAACAATAATTCTCTTCAGTAGTATTTCCTGCTTTTAAATTTAGTTTGGAATGAAAAGATAGACTTGATGTTGTACCAATTAATGACAAACTGGAAGAGGAACATAATATGCATTAAATATGGAAGGTAACACATCTAAGAACAGGACATCTTAAGAGTAAATAATAGCTATATTTTAAATTATATAAATTTTCAATGCAGTGTTTATATTAATATGTCAAGAAAGAAACTTCTCTTTAAGTCATATCATAAGGGAATAAAGATCATTTGTGTTCAACTGTGCATTGAAAAAGAAGCAAGAATTTAAACTAATCCTGCTCTGACAGATTGTCAAGCAGAGTAAGTACAGGATATTGCTAGCTACTCTGGAAAAGCAGTACAGAAAATTTTGAATGTCATTTCTCCACAAAGCCAAGGGCCAAGAGACATGGGAAATGTAAAACTGAGTTCAGTATCATTTGTGATCTTTCAAGTGTCATTTATATTAGAAACATGTCTTGGGTAGACTTAAATTGAAGGAAATTTTATTTAATCTCATCCCTGTTCTAAATGAAGTAAGGAAGAATCTACTTACAAAGAAATATTTTCAAATATTTCTGAAGTCCACCTTTTGAGGACAAATTGATAAAATTGTTTCCTTTCATTTGAATTGCAGAATGAGTCCTTTATATCTGTTTAAATTACATTGAAATCTAGCAAAAATAGATTTTCTTTATGAAGTAAGGGAAATAAGGTTCTCTTCTATTCCACTAATATATTCCATGAAAAGATGTGCAGAAATTTATCCAAACATATCCATTCAAGTGTCCTAAATGCAGAAAAATAGATCATTTAAATTTTACAATTCTACATCTGACTTTCAGGTAAAAAAAAACATACCTCTCTTCAATGAGTAACTCCTAGTCACTGTAACATATTCCTTTCATCTTTCATTAAAAAAATTATGATATTTCATAATGCAAAGAAAAAATATTGTTCAATCACAGCAAATATCACTTAGAGCACAGATCAACTTTATTCTAATAATAGTGGTGTTTCAGCAGATTTTTAAAGGTCCCTAATATTTTTGCATGTCCAGTAAAATAAAAATATGAGATTTGTAGTTATGTGCATAAATTATGAATATACCATTTTCTAAATATATGTGTATGTGTGTGTATCCAATCCTAAAATTTAAAAGAGATTTACAGAACCAAAGAATGAAATCATTGGAAAAATACTTTAGAAAGTATTTTTTTGATTAATTTAAACTCAAAGAGTTACCCTAGACATTTTGAAAATTCAGAGCAACGATTCATAAACACAGTAAACATGGAGCCTATGACTATCAAAGGAGCTCTATTTAGCTGTTTATTTTGCACCAATCAGTTGAAAGTTCAACCTGGACTGAGAAAGAAATCAGGAATTGGCAAAACGTAGGTCAGCCACAGCTCCACTTAATGCTGGCTGCCACTGGTCCACTCTGCTGGTTGCTGGTCTCTACAGCTCCCCATTGCTGCTGTTTGACAGTGGCTTGTGCTGATTGACATTTTTAGATTCTGAGCATTGCTGGTCTTTGTTTTTGATCTTCTTGGCTGCTGGCCCCTGGTGCTCTCTAGAGGTGACAGTTTCTAGTGTTTATTCTTTTAAAGTGACTGTTTTGTCCATACTACTTAGGATCCTGAGTAGATTTACAGTATTTTCCAGGTTGACACTACCTGAGAAATAATGATTTCTCAGAGTCGATTTATACGACCAGAATGTAGCTTAATTTTAAGAGGACCTGTGCTACTGCACAGAGGTATGCCAAGGAAGGCCCTCTTAAGCTAAGGGGATGTGTGAGGCGAGTGGTGCTTATATAGCAGCTGCAAGTCTATCATTAGTCCAAGTGTAAATCTGATTGGTTCAAATTTGGGAATGATGATTGATCCCAGTGCAGACTTGTGATTGGTTCAAATAGCTGGGGGTACAGGACAGTTACAGGTGTCATGGCAGAGATTCAAGAAAAGAGCTGGGAGACTTGATCTGTTTATTGACGGTTGTCATGGTTCTGAAAAATGGTGGAGGAAAAACAGAACCATTCAGGTGGGCTAGCTGTGCTCATCACAGCTTACTGGAGTTTGGGAAAGTTGGGGATGTTGGTAACGGGCTGGAAACCCTCTCTCCCATGATCTTAGCCATGTTTGAGTGCACCACCTTCTGCAGAGATGGAGCCTTAGCATCTAGACGGGCAGGAGTGGGGGAGGGGCAGCTGAGAGGGCAAGCTGCACTTCCTGTCAAAGAGTCTTGCAGGAGAGTGGCTGCAGCCCTTCCAGCCATTCCTGGAAAGGTCTTGCTTAGTGAAAGAATGTCTGGAGAGTGATGTGACAGCTGTTAGCCAAATGACACACCTCTCTGGTTGCACAAGACAGAGGAGAGTCAGGTGCTTGTTGTGTCTCTCAATTTGATTGATTAAATTCAGGAGATTATTCTAATGAGCATTTTCCTCACTTCACATTTGAATTTCTGCTGGATATGGTGGCACACTCCTGTATCCCAGCACTCAGCGGATGAGATACGACTATCACCCTGAGTTTGAGGACAGCCTACAGTACATAAGTGAGCTCAAAGCCAGTCTGTATTACAGAGTGAAATCCTGTCTCAAAAAAAAAAAGAATTTTCTCAGCTCCAAATATACTGCTTATGATCCTGGGTTTTATTAGCTGTTATGATTTTATATATCTTAAGCCTTAAGGTTTTATTACTTTTAAATAAATAATATCACTTCCAATATTTTAGCATTACTCAATATGCATCTAAATACATATGCACACATCTAAATAATTTAAAATGTTGGGTTTTAGTGGATGCATTTATACAGAAGGAAGATAACATATAAAAGAGTCTAATAGTCAAAATTGGGTGAAGAACAAAATAGATAAAGAAAATAGAATTCTAAAGGTATAGAACACATATCCATTTGTGCTGGAATGGAGTGCATATTTAGGAGGGTACAGTGCAAAAATTGGGCATTGGTAAATATGAAAACTTTGGGCTTAATTCACTGGAGTCAGACACACGAAGGCGCATATGTTCCTGAACAGAAAGTGTTCCCCCAACTATTTTCCTATGTCTGTGTTACTAT